TAAAACCAGATTGAATTTCTGTAACATCAGAAGCACCTTATTTATTGTTACGGCATATCTCAGATTTTGGAATACAAAAATAAATATGACATTATAACAATCATAACAGATCTGATTTGACATTATACTCAGTTGACGAAGGTGTGATATAATAACCAAATAATATAAAGGACAAAGTGAAATATCATCTTCCAATTACAAATATACTACGTCAATTACCAGATGGTTCTGGTATGAGTTGACAGAAATACACCTGCCACGAGGCCCTGAAACAACGTCATTGTCTTTATTTTGTTTTTACCGGCAGCAAGTTGTAGAGGTCAGAATCTAGCCAGTGGGAACTAACTGGATGCCTTGAGAATAGTAGAATATAATACTGAGTATTTGTTAAGGTTTCTAGAGCAAGTAACGATATTGTTCGCAATGAAATAGAATAATGACCGTCCAGTCATTGAAATTCTCTTTACTTCATTAAAACAATAAGTCAGAAGATCGTCAATTTATGACAATAATAACCAAAAGCATTTTAGCACATCTTTCTCTACATACACTAGAGCAATGTCTTCTAAGCTGCACTAGCTAAACCGTAACATGCAAGTAAACCAAAATCTTAAAATTGACAAGGGAGGTGTGCGACTATGGAATACTTTTTTCTGGAACTATTTCATTTAACTTTCATCAGCTGATTAATTCCCGATTACCTTATGTTCCAAGTTGTAGGACAAACATAGAATAAGATGCAGAAATGTCATGCATTTGTACGCGTTGGAATTTGGATTTGATTTGCGATGTTCATTGCTGTCCACTGTCTGTAGGACTCGCCAATTGAAGGGTGCGTGATCAAACACGAGTTCTTATTCTGCGTCTTGACGTTTTTAATCTGAGATTCTTCAATCAACTGATTATAATATGACTGTGTTTTCTGATCGTGAAAGTGTATTTATTTCGTATTAACTGCACACTTTGATTTCCAGGCATTGAATTAAAGTAAAATGTTAGTCTTTTGTATTCTGTTGGCGTGTACATTAACTTGACATTTCATCACAGCTTGATCATTGTCTGTTAAAATCAACATTTTACTGACAAACTTTTTCAAAAGTGAAAATCTTTCTTTGTTTATTAGATTTCATTGTTAAATTTTAATGTCAGTTCTCTGCCGTCTGTAGCTGTTCTAATGGAAAGCGACGTGTTAATTGAAACCGAACTCAGATGAAAAGATGTTTGAGTATTGTTTGAGGTTTCCGAGTCGAGGAACATCAGGATGCCAAACCGGAAACTCTGTTGACTTGAAGGCTGTAATGATTGGGTGGTTATTTACGAGTAAATGAAGGCTTTTAACCTGGCATTGATTAGGTCTACAGAATAATAGTAGAGAATTATATTAACATGACAACTCTCTCTTTTAAAAAAACATCACCCTCAATGCAGACTGAAAAGTGCCAATTAGCGGATTTGTTAATCAATGTAAGCAGCCTACATATTTCCAGAATTGACAAACTAGTAATTTCTTTAACGGTCTATAAAATCACAAATTAAAAGTAAATGGTACTTTTTATCGAACGTAAATTCTTCGGGAATAGTATTTAATTTGTCAGCAAAATTTAATGAAAAGGTTTCAACGCCTTAAACCTCTAGGTAAATGTCATCGTTTTGAATGATGTATCGGTCGAACCGTGACAGAACTTCTAACTTCTAACTTTTAACGACAATAAAACATTCGTTACATACACTGACACAAGTTGATCAAACGTCAATCACTGATCTCAAGTTTCATGGAAACTTCCTTCTTCATGGAAAGACGTTGAAACTTTGCAGAAAGCGTGAATAAGTTACAGTCATAATTATTATAAACCTAAATCATACACGATTATTGAATACAACTTTCAAGACAGTTTGTGTGTATAAAGCCACTGTCCCCGTTGGTAGAAGTACAGGTAAGAAGTACTCCAATACACAATAACTTGAATGTACACCCAATTGGACCGTGTTAATAAAGACGTGCATCGAGTAATACATGACCAGGAAAGTGGTGCCTGAATGCTGATCTTGTAATAAAATTTATGAAAAGAAATCGTTTGGATCTAAATTACTTCCTAAATATCAGGTCCGAATTTTACCAGACTTACAGTGAAACAGACAAATTGTCTCCATGGCTGTGTCTATCGACCTTTGTTAAGATGAAGAAGTCAATAATTTGCTGGTCATATCAACATGAAGGGTTTAAAGCTTCATCTCTTTATTCCTCATTAGAGATTAATAAAGGTAATTACTAGAGAAACCTCTCATCTCTTTCAAATGAAGTCGTAAAAGTTAAAGATCGTCCAAGTTTCGTATTTAATGGCATTAACAAGAACGTAAGCCGTAGTTTCGCATCTAATGGCCGACTTAATCTTTAATGACTGTTTCATTAAGCATGAAGTAAAGCGAGAAATCATTTTGAGGAAATAGCCTCCAGTAAAATGGACATCATCCGGTGTTAGAATTAGCAAACATTATGAGAGTTAAGTCCCTTGGAGGGTTTGAGGCTATTTTATCATGATACTTTATAAATCTGTCGAGCACACTTCCTTTTCATCAGACGTCGTTTAGTTGTGATTTTAAATACCCCCATTTATAAGATTGCTTGTAGGCGATGACTCGGGTATTATAGTACAGATAAATATTAACTTGAGTTTTACGCCGTAATTCCAACATCTGATTAGGCTAATAAAGACAGAAAATAACAGCAGAGAGCGGATTGTTGAAAGCAATTCTACCGAGAAAACTTGATTAAAATAAAGTTCTGTCTGTTTTGATTGGTGAATAAAGGATGAGCCTGTGATCAAAAATAAAGTTCTGTCTGTCTGAAATCCATGGTATTTTCAGAGATATTTGCTGTAAGTTTTATAGAATGGTGATTGTTTAAAATTTCGAAATACTCCTAAAAGTTTGCCAATGATTCTTCCATAGGAGAAAGGTTTAAAAGGGGCAATTAATGAGATTTCGCGTTTCCATTCAGCCATAAAAATGTTCGCATGACTTGCCGCGAAGCGTTTTCCCATTGCTGTAACAGAAGTTTGACGATAGATTTTTCCATTGAAAGTGAAGTCATTTCGCGTGAGGCATAGTGTTAAATAAAACCTTATCCGTCTAAGTATTAAAGGGATGTAACTCTATGTTTTATAAGACTGAAGATAGACTCTCACCACCATCTCTTTCAATGTATTAAAGGGATGTAACTCTATGTTTTATATCCTTGAAGTTAAACTCTCACCACCATCTCTTTCAATGTATTAAAGGGATGTAACTCTATGTTTTATATCACTGAAGTTAGACTCTCACCACCATCTCTTTCAATGTATTAAAGAGATGTAACTCTAGAGATGAAAACCCAATATCAAGACCCTTAATCCTAATTTCTAAATAAAGTGTCTGCTCCACCCTAGGCCTGTACATTTGGGAGAATCAAACCCTCCCTTCCCCGAAATCCAATATGTCGCATTTAATGTTTATTGATTTATCATCATTTTACTTTATTCTTTTGAATAACTGCCTCATCCCACCCATTTGCATTAACCCTCATGGTGTAGAGAAGTAGGACATAAAACTCTAATCATTTCATTATTTTATTCTGACCAACCTTTCAAATTGATTAGTTCATAGATTGGTCTTCCTTTTCATATTTCTCTCTTTAACTTATATGAAATTACGACCTGATCTGTAGGTTTGCGGTAATTTATGTTGTTGGCACTTGTATGGATATACAGCCAATTGTTTTTTATCATATTGTTACACAGTCTGTTTCTTTAGATATGTTTCAGAAAGCTACGTGTTGCATAATGACGTAATTATGAAAATGTTGAAATTTGCAAAAAAGCTTAAAATGAACTGGCATGAATCCAAAGAAATGCAGGTAGTAGTTTTTAGTGAAGATAGTGGTAGTAACAATCTGAAGATTCTTTTAGTTTTAGCTCTGTCTGTCACCCGATCTTAAAACATGTGTTCTAATATGACGTCATACATAAAAATATTCATTAATCTGCGGTCGTTAATAACAATTGAAGGGAGTTAACTCCAGTAAACAACCTTTACCGTTTAATACATACAATGACTCGTCTAGACTTGTTTTTACTCAAATCAGACTCAGGTTCTGGTAAGAAATTCTTGACTGCAATAGTCATCTTTCTTGAATCACGGAGGTTTGTAAAGGTGGATTTTTAAGTATAAGACGAAGTTCATAATACCTTCACCGATGTGATCTTCATGACTTCATGTGTGAATACTGAACAAGGATTCCATTGCTTCACAGCAGAACTTTTTAACGAACGTACAGACTCAATACAATACATCATGAACAGATAAGATTTAAATTGTCCCAATTCTGTATTCTTATCTAATAATTTCAACACGTTTATAAGCGTATGAACACAACTTTCAATCCCGTAGCCAGATTCAATTGTTCGGAAGGGCAAGTAATATATCCGTAGTTGCAGCAGTTGGAATTGGTCTGTTGTCAGACATTTGCCATATTTTCGCTTTCAATTGAATTAATTTAAGAAAGAAACTTCCCCGATCACATATCAAACATCCTAATCATAGAATGATACCACTTAGTAGATGCGGTGGAGTAAATTCACGGTTTTTCATGTATAAACTTCATTTCAACAATAAAACGATGTTAGAAATAAAATATTTTATTTATACAATCCTAAACTAAATACTAGAAATTAATTCATTTTAATGTTTATGTTATGTTAATAAACGCACTAGCTTTATATTTTGTGTTTTCTTTCCTGACCTGAATGTATTAATTTTAATATATACATGCTAGCTGTAATAACTCAATGCAGTATTAATGGAATACTACTTCTTAGAATAAAATCCTCAAACTAAAAATAAGTAATTATCCGTATCTAAAAACGATTAAAATGTATTCCATCAATGATTAGTATGCATGAGTTTGTAGTCTTTCAATATATCAAAAAAACATCAAAGTTTGGATGGAACAGATTCATAATACATCAAAGTTTGGCTGGAACAGGTAAACCAGTCAAATGAAAATGTGGTTTATAATTCGGATTAGTTAACGCTTCTCGGTCCATTGTAAAACTTGATATATCATACTGAGTCTTACCATCTATGGCCAGTTGACTTAAAATTTTACCCAGTAAACTCGCCCATCTGAAATAAAATCAAGATCCAGTTTAATTTACAGTCAAATATGTTTCATGATAACAAACAGGGATTTCAGTGACACCCTTTAAAATACTACTCACACGGACTATCTTATTTCCATTTTAGACGGCTCATGGCGTTACCTTCTAAATTTTATGACATTATTAAGAAAAGTTCGTAACAACCACCCCTGACATAGCTAGTAATATTTATTTGGTTTTGATGTCTACAGGCTAAATCAGCATTTCCAATAGAAACGCAATTTGGTATTTAAGATTCTCATTCTGTCTAAGGTTTGTAACTATTAATTTGTATCAGAAACTACTTACTTAAAAGCATGTCCTGCCCCATTACAGACAATAACATCAGAATAGCCAGTTCTATGACACGTGTCAATTACAAAATGGCGATCTGGGGTCATGGCGTACAGACAACATTTTGTCTCCATGATCGGTCCTAAAAACTGAAATAAAAAACAAATTAAAGTGATAATCTGGCCTCTCATTCTCGAAAAGATCCCAGCGCCAGGGTCTTGACTTCTAACGCTGTTTCTAGGATATTCTAGGGTCTTAACTTCTATTATTGTTTCTAGGATATCCTAGGGTCTTAACTTCAAACACTGTTTCTAGGATATCCTAGGGTCTTTACTTCTAACACTGTTTCTATGATATCCCAGGGTCTTAACTTCTAACACTGTTTCTATGATATCCTAGGGTCTTTACTTCTAACACTGTTTCTAGGATATCCTAGGGTCTTTACTTCTAACACTGTTTCTATGATATCCTCGGGTCTTAACTTCTATTATTGTTTCTAGGATATCCTAGGGTCTTAACTTCAAACACTGTTTCTAGGATATCCTAGGGTATTAACTTCTATTACTGTTTCTAGGATATCCTAGGGTCTTTACTTCTAACACTGTTTCTAGGATATCTCAGGGTCTTAACTTCTATTATTGTTTCTGGGATATCCTAGGGTCTTAACTTCTATTATTGTTTGAAGGATATCCTAGGGTCTTAACTTCTATTATAACTTCTATTATTGTTTCTAGGATATCCTAGGGTCTTAACTTCTAACACTGTTTCTAGGATATCCCAGGGTCTTAACTTCTATTATTGTTTCTAGGATATCCCAGGGTCTTAACTTCTATTATTGTTTCTAGAATATCCCAGGGTCTTAACTTCTATTACTGTTTCTAGATATCCCAGGGTCTTAACTTCTAACATTGATTCTAGGATATCCTAGGGTCTTAACTTCTATTATTGTTTCTAGGATATCCCAGGGTCTTAACTTCTATTATTGTTTCTAGAATATTCCAGGGTCTTAACTTCTATTATTGTTTCTAGGATATCCCAGGGTCTTAACTTCTATTATTGTTGCTAGAATATTCCGGGGTCTTAACTTCTATTACTGTTTCTAGGATATCCTAGGGTCTCAACTTCTATTATTGTTTCTAGGATATCCCAGGGTCTTAACTTCTAACACTGTATCTATGATATCCTAGGGTCTTAACTTCTAACATTGTTTCTAGGATATCCTAGGGTCTTAACTTCTATTATTGTTTCTAGGATATCCCAGGGTCTTAACTTCTATTATTGTTTCTAGGATATCCCAGGGTCTTAACTTCTATTATTGTTTCTAGGATATCCCAGGGTCTTAACTTCTATTATTGTTTCTAGGATATCCCAGGGTCTTAACTTCTATTATTGTTTCTAGAATATTCCAGGGTCTTAACTTCTATTACTGTTTCTAGGATATCATAGGGTATTAACTTCTAACACTGTTTCTATGATATCCTAGGGTCTTATCTTCTAACACTGTTTCTAGGATATCCTAGGGTCTTAACTTCTATTATAACTTCTATTTCTGTTTCTATGATATCCCAGGGTCTTATCTTCTAACATTGTTTCTATGGTATCCTAGGGTCTTAACTTCCAACACTGTTTCTAGGATATCCCAGGGTCTTAACTTCTATTATTGTTTCTAGGATATCCTAGGGTCTTAACTTCTAACACTGTTTCTAGGATATCCTAGGGTCTTAACTACTATTATTGTTTCTAGGATATCCTAGGGTCTTAACTACTATTATTGTTTCTAGGATATCCTTGTGACTTTACTTCTAACACTGTTTCTAGGATATCCTAAAGTCTTAACTTCTATTACTATTTCTAGGATATCCCAGGGTCTTAGCTTCTAACACTGTTTCTAGGATATCCCAGGGTTTTAACTTCTAAAACTGTTTCTAGGATATCCTAGGGTCTTAACTTCTAACACTATTTCTAGGATATCCTAGGGTCTTAACTTCTATTATTGTTTCTAGGATATCATAGGGTATTAACTTCTATTATTGTTTCTAGGATATCCTAGAGTCTGAACTTCTATTATTGTTTCTAGGATATCCTAGGGTCTTAACATCTATTACTGTTTCTAGGATATTCCAGGGTCTTAGCTTCTAACACTGTTTCTAGGATATCCCAGGGTCTTAACTTCTAACACTGTTTCTAGGATATCCTAGGGTCTTAACTTCTAACACTATTTCTAGGATATCCTAGAGTCTTAACTTCTAACACTGTTTCTATGATATCCCAGGGTCTTAACTTCTAACACTGTTTCTATGATATCCCAGGGTTTTAACTTTTAACACTGTTTCTAGGAAATCTTAGGGTATTAACTTCTAACACTGTTTCTAGGATATCCTAGGGTCTTAACTTCTATTATTGTTTCTAGGATATCCCAGGGTTTTAACTTCTATTACTGTTTCTAGGAAATCCTAGGGTATTAACTTCTAACACTGTTTCTAGGATATCCTAGGGTCTTAACTTCTATTACTGTTTCTATGATATCCCAGGGTCTTAACTTCTATTATTGTTTCTAGGATATCCTAGGGTCTTAACTTCTAACACTGTTTCTATGATATCCCAGGGTTTTATTTTCTATTTTTGTTCCTAGGATATCCTAGGTTCTGAACATCTAACACTGTTTCTATGATATCCCAGGGTTTTAACTTCTATTTTTGTTCCTAGGATATCCCAGGGTCTTAACATCTAACACTGTTTCTATGATATCCCAGGGTTTTAACTTCTATTTTTGTTCCTAGGATATCCTAGGGTCTTAACTTCTATTATTCTTTCTAGGATATCCTAGGGTCTTAACCTCTATTACTGTTTTAGGACATCCTAGGGTCTTGACTCCTAACAATGCTTCTAGGACATCCTAGGGTCTTGATTACTGACACTGTTTCTAGGATATCCTAGGGTCTTGACTTCTAACACTGTTTCTAGGATATCCTAGGGTCTTGTTTACTAACACTGTTTCTAGGATATCCTAGGGTCTTAACTTCTAACACTGTTTGTATGATATCCTAGGGTCTTAACCTCTATTACTGTTTCTAGGATATCCTAGGGTCTTAACTTATATTACTGTTTCCAGGACATCCTAGGGTATTGACTTCTAACACTTTGTCTAGGATGTTCCGGGGTCTTAACACTGTTTCTAGAATATCCTAGGGTTTTAACTTCTAACACTGTTTCTAGGATGTCCTAGGATCTGAATTTCTAACACTGTTTCTAGGATGTCCTAGTGTCTTTACTTCTAACAGTGTTTCTAGGATATCCGAGGGTTTTAACTTCTATTACTGTTTCTAGGATATCCTAGGGTTTTAACTTCTAACACTGTTTCTATGATACCCCAGGGTCTTAACTTCTATTACTGTTCTAGGATATCATAGGGTATTAACTTCTAACACTGTTTCTATGATATCCTAGGGTCTTATCTTCTAACACTGTTTCTAGGATATCCTAGGGTCTTAACTTCTATTATTGTTTCTAGGATATCTTAGGATCATAACTTCTATTTCTGTTTCTATGATATCCCAGGGTCTTATCTTCTAACACTGTTTCTATGATATCCTAGGGTCTTAACTTCCAACACTGTTTCTAGGATATCTCAGGGTCTTAACTTCTATTATTGTTTCTAGGATATCCTAGGGTCTTAACTTCTAACACTGTTTCTAGGATATCCTAGGGTCTTAACTTCTATTATTGTTTCTAGGATATCCTAATGTCTTTACTTCTAACACTGTTTCTAGGATATCCTAGGGTCTTAACTTCTATTATTGTTTCTAGGATATCCTAGGGTCTTAACTTCTATTACTGTTTCTAGGATATCCCAGGGTCTTAGCTTCTAACACTGTTTCTAGGATATCCCAGGGTTTTAACTTCTAACACTGTTTCTAGGATATCCTAGGGTCTTAACTTCTAACACTCTTTCTAGGATATCCTAGGGTCTTACCTTCTATTATTGTTAATAGGATATCCTAGGGTATTAACTTCTATTATTGTTAATAGGATATCCTAGGGTATTAACTTCTATTACTGTTTCTAGGATATCCCAGGGTCTTAGCTTCTAACACTGTTTCTAGGATATCCCAGGGTCTTAACTTCTAATACTGTTTCTAGGATATCCTAGGGTCTTAACTTCTATTATTGTTTCTAGGATATCCTAGGGTCTTAACTTCTATTATTGTTTCTAGAATGTTCCAGGGTCTTAGCTTCTAACATTGTTTCTAGGATATCCCAGGGTCTTAACTTCTAACACTGTTTCTATGATATCCTAGGGTCTTAACTTCTAACACTATTTCTAGGATATCCTAGAGTCTTAACTTCTAACACTGTTTCTAGGATATCCTAGGGTCTTAACTTCTATTATTGTTTCTAGGATATCCTAGGGTCTTAACTTCTATTATTGTTTCTAGGATATCCCAGGGTTTTAACTTCTATTACTGTTTCTAGGATATCCTAGGGTATTAACTTCTAACACTGTTTCTAGGATATCCTAGGGTATTAACTTCTATTACTGTTTCTATGATATCCCAGGGTCTTAACTTCTAACACTGTTTCTATGATATCCCAGGGTTTTAACTTCTATTATTGTTCCTAGGATATCCTAGGGTCTTAACTTCTATTATTCTTTCTAGGATATCCTAGGGTCTTAACCTCTATTACTGTTTTAGGACATCCTAGGGTCTTGACTTCTAACACTGTTTCTAGGATATCCTAGGGTCTTGTTTACTAACACTGTTTCTAGGATATCCTAGGGTCTTAACTTCTAACACTGTTTCTAGGATATCCTAGGGTCTTGTTTACTAACACTGTTTCTAGGATATCCTAGGGTCTTAACTTCTAACACTGTTTGTAGGATATCCTAGGGTCTTAACCTCTATTACTGTTTCTAGGATATCCTAGGGTCTTAACTTATATTACTGTTTCCAGGACATCCTAGGGTCTTGACTTCTAACACTTTTTCTGTTCCGGGGTCTTAACACTGTTTCTAGAATATCCTAGGGTTTTAACTTCTAACACTGTTTCTAGGATGTCCTAGGATCTGAATTTCTAACACTGTTTTTAGGATGTCCTAGTGTCTTTACTTCTAACAGTGTTTCTAGGATATCCTAGGTCGTAACTTCTAACACTGTTTCTAGGATGTCCTAGGGCCGTAATTTCTAACATTGTTTCGAGGATGTATGATAGGCGAAACAGGGATATATATATATATATATGTGGTCAAATAACCAATTATTTCGGTGAGGCAATACATAAGTCTGATAAACTATAAAATCATCAAGATCAAAACGCTGCAATAGTCATCCCATCCCACATATACATTTTCTAATTGCAACGCTGAAAAGTGTTTAATTGAAAACTTAAACAGTTGCTCAAATTTCCCATTTGGGAATTCATATAAGTCCACGGTAATACGATATTCATTTAGTTGAGCCATTGGTTGTAAACGGTCCTGTTGTATAAGGATTTGACATCATATTCTATTTACCTTTGGAGCAATTTTATTCATGAATTCGATCACATTTTGTTCGCGTTCAGGACATGGTGTAAAATCCCGGGTAGTGGGTGTAACAGTCTTACCCACGGCATCAATACCTATCTTGGTACTAGAATTCCCATGGATTGGTATCTGATAATAATTATAGTTTGGTGCATGATATATAAATATAGGAAATCTGAAATAAACAGTTGAAATGAACTGATTCTGTCATTATATCGGATTGTTAAAACTAAACGACAAATCTTCTAGTGTACGTTTTCATTAAATTGTAAGACCATAGCATATCGGATGATATTTTTGAATAAGATACTATTTCTTCAACTGGTGCAATGTTCAGACGATTATAAACTGAATTTAGTCACTTCAAGTCAGTTTGATAACTGTTTCCAGTCTGAACCATAAGCATATAACTTTACAATGAATACTGTGATAATTTGTATGGACCCCGGTTTAGACTAGTTATCTAGGCAATGTATGATCTAAGTCACAAAAATATTTGTCATTAATCAGTAAAGAAAACCAGTAAACCCGATGAAAACGATTCATGAATACATATTTATCAAGTCATTAAATTAACCAAATCTAGAGGTAGTTCTTACCTTTCTTTAGAAAAGAGTTTACTATGAGGTGAAGCGAAGTAGGTGACATTTTCCTGAGTTACAGTGATTGGTAAATTAACCCCTACTGATCCTAGAATCTGGTTGATCCACGCTCCAGCAGTAACTATCACACGTCTACAGGTAAATTTGCCTCTCGTCGTCTCTACCTAATAGTCACAACAAAAAGACATATTCATGTTATCATTCTATTGTTTATTTTCGGAAGAAATTCTGCGACTCATTTGATACGAGGACAAGACAGTTTGAACTCAGACTTTAGGCAGTTGTGTTGTTAATGATGGCGAAGAAACATTACGATTAAATAATCGCTACAATTCAACTTATTCTGTTATCTTTAGTTATAAGATTTCTTAAATGACATACGACCAAGATTAATTTACGTAAAATAACATATTTCCTTATTGCGGAACTAACATTCTGTTAATGTAAGAACAAAGGCCGTAAATCAACAGAAAAGTATGTATATCAGCAGAAATTTACGTATATCAACAGAAAATATGAAGTACATTTCTGTAAAAAAAAACGGACTTTTTTTTACAGTGTAGTTATAAGATTTGTTTTATTTGTATTATAAGCGTTTTAGTTACTCGTTAAATGGACTATCAGTAACTAGTTTGGGAGGAAGATAACACTTTAACCTCTCCAAGATGTTACTCAAGCGTTATTAAGATAGTTTGCAGTATACTATTGTGTATTTGTACTGACCGTCATCTGTCCCAGTGTATTTCTGTATAGTCTAATGACAGCACAGTTACTGATGATAGACGCACCGTGACCACGAGCTAGTTGTTGGTGAGTTGAGTTAGCTACGGCAGCATCAACCAGGCCTGAGTCTTTCTGATACAAACTGACTACATCTTCCTTCAGCTCAAATTGAGGAAATTTTCTTTCTAATTCTGTTTTATTCAATCGTTCATATCTGAAATATACATTAACTCAGACTTGTATACTTGAAGCTTAATTACTTAAATAACATTTACCAAATACATATAACTTTTCACTACCGAATATGGTAAACACTGCTGATCTATTACAATTTCCTTCAAAATGCTAATAATATGTATATATATGCACCAAACATAAGATTTGCCATTTCCTCATTAAATTCTCTGAAAGCCGTACTCAATGTTTAGATAATAAAATAACTAACTGAATGTTGGCTCTGTCCATGGCAGCAGCGAAACTATTAATGATATGATCCCCTTCACCAATCTTCGCCATATTTAATCCACCACATTTATATACAATCTTCATTCCTGATTCCTGTTCTACCTCGTTCCATCTACAATATATCTTCACGATGTCAAGCTATTACAAACTTCATCTTATACCTTTACTCATCTTCACGATGTCAAGCTATTACAAACTTCATCTTATACCTTTACTCATCTTCACAATGTCATGCTATTACAAACTTCATCTTATACCTTCAGAGCTACCTTTCTTGTGTGGCGTTGTGAGCCATTATGTTTGCAGTCTGTCTGTCAGGGCTGTGATTGGCTGTATTTGCTGGAGGACAATTCAATCAAATCGCTGCATTCCGTGATACAAGAAAGGTGGCTATTGCAGTCAAGATATAAGATGAAGTTCGTAACAGCTTGTCATTGTGAAGGACTGGTGTCTGCATTCTACAGCATTCAAAAGCCAAATGTACAGATTCTATAGGTGAAAACCAGCAATGAACAAAGAAGAAATCCAACTGAATAATAAAGCTGTATATCAATGAGTACAACCCATCGGTGGGAGAAAATTCATTTTATATACAGGGAATTTCTATTATATTGTTGGAATGTCGCACGTTCTGCTGTTCTGGTAAACATTCACTCATTGTACACTGCTTAATCAGATACAGAAGACTTGCAAAAAGCCAATTTCATCTCTCTCATTGTTGTTTATTCTTCACGAAATGCTCGTCCAAATTTGATTAAAATTTAACAGGCAACCTTTGCAAGGGAGAAATGCTAAGAGGATCCATGTTTAAGATTAACAAAAGTGATTTTGAGTAAATGGTGTACAACAAAATCTTGTGATATTACTTACGTTTGGTAGGTATGGGGAGCCAGTTTAGTGTAGCGGTCATCTGGATAGGACAGTCGACTACAAACAGAAAATAGTTGTCTCTTATCTAGTATTAAATAGAACAGTCTAAGGGTGCCCTTACACCATAAAATAATATGAAACCATTTGACTCCAGTAAAACAATCCGATGGAAGGGGTTTTCCAATTTTGTTCCTATTCCATGATTCCGTCCTATATAGAAAGTTTTCTAGATGCAAAAATAATCATCGGATCAAACGTATATTCCAAGAAATCCAGACTATAACCAATGCAGGTGAGATCTGATGGAAGGTGTCAAAATCCGATCCTGGTATTCGTGATGCTTCAAAACACACAGTACACACAGATGGGTCGTTACCGACAGAGTTTCTGTGTGTCTTTACACGAGAAATATAAATGTATAAATCACGGACACATAATTAATTTGCTATGTATTAAAAGTTCTTACATAATTCTAGAATGATCCTGTGACCCACCATTAACATGCCCCAGTTTAAACTGTTCAATACCTAATACATCTAGAAATATAACAAGATAGTTCTCATCAATCAATAGCTGATAATCCTAGTTAAAGTAAGACAAGATAGAGGGGAGGGTGATATCTTGTTGAATTAATATACGTAATTAAAAAAAAATATTCTTTTTAAAGTTGGTAATCACAGCATTTGACCAGCTTGACAAATTTTGCAGTATATGATTTACCGCGTCTGATTTTGATCCCGTAGTAATTTACTATCGTTTCGTATTGGTCAGGCGTTCATGTCACATCTAGGCGAGTTTCCAACGGGATTTCTGGAAAATGTTACCAAAGGTAATTAAATTTGTCGGACCAGTCCTGTTATGCGATGCTATCATTCTTACCTCCCTTGACTTGTTTTGATAACCAGTAAACAGTGGCGCTACCTATTCCACCACAGCCAATCACTATATAGTCAAAATGGCGTCTGCCTTCATCAAACCATGTACTTCGACTCTCCATTCTTTAGCTTTAAAATATGCTCTGAATGTTACGTTAATGTATCACAATTTTTCGCAATATAAAATAGCATCCTTCGTACTGATTAATAGCACAAATTCCTGCAGTACCACGCACTGGTACAACATTCATTAAAATAGGCCTACACCAAAGAGCTATAAATACAAGTCACAGAATATAAAAATACAAGATAATGAAGACAAGAAGATAAACAACTCAACCACTGGCTATGTAAGTTAATCAAGAGAAAATATTCAACACGCACATGTTCTGACCTGCAGTTCAAGGTTAACCACTGTCTATTGATCATGTATATGATTGGGTATATATGTAAACTCAATCGACATTCTACTACGGTCAGAATAGAATACTCATTAATATTTTATACGATCTCTACATCATTGATTTTTTCAGTTCTGATCGTTTTCAACCTCATTGAATTATCAGGAACTCAGTCAGTTAGTCAATGACTATTCCAAAATATTACTAGGATTATCATGATGCCTGAATAGAAATTCAAAAAGTATGTCTCAGGAAATCACTTAATCCCACAGTTTTCAGTTATAAGTCTCTTTGTTTATATTTATATTATCTTTGTAGGGTTAATGTAAATTTATTTATGAAACTTATTGGCTATGCATAATTTAAACTGCTAATTGCTAAAATGCGACATTGATAGAAATTATGATAGAAATAATGGAAAGTTGTCAACTAACTATTAAAAAGTCCTTACCTTTCAGCAGTGGTCTAACATCCTTTACTAGTCCTTTATATTACCCCTTTATATATATGATCAGTTGAAATGTCAAACTGACAGAAGTATTAGAATAGGTGTACATGGTGGAAAATCCTGTACTTTAATCAGTACATTACAGTAAAGTTATCTCAACCTCATTATCGTATGATTGTTAAGTTATTATGAAATATGGGACTCCAGACTTCACTTGTTATCCTTGTTATCTTTCTATTATATCCCTGTACATTGTTTTCAATTTTTATCACAAAATAAATATTAATTGTTGAAAGGTCAGGTTTTTTCTCTTAATATTTCAGTAAAGTTATATATAGAATTCAAGAAAGCTCTGGTCGTGTTGAAGCTGTGTATGAAATATCAATCTTTTGTAAAATATTAATATAATATAATATATTGCAAAATTCTGCATCCAAACGACGGTATCCCGGTAAAAAAGTTAGCGAATGTGATTATTTAATTCCTGTATTCTCACTAATACTAATTCTATAGTTTGATATTTTAGAAGATTTAAAACATAACATGGAATCCACTTAATGATCCTTTATTTTTTTACTGGACGGGAAAATATCCTTGATGGTGTTATTATAGATATATATTACTACAGTGGATTTTTATTTTATTACTAGTAATTCTCCATCAAGTTTAATGATCAGACATTTCTCAGGTGAAATGGGCCTGAAAGATTGGTAGTCGAAGACAGGATCTCACCTCGTCGACTAATGGAAGAATCTATATTTCCTACCTGTATTCAGCGAGCAACCGTTCGTCACAGACATCAAACGCTATCTATTATAAATACTTATTGTCAATAGATCTCATTCCCCGCACCGTTTGCATTTATTATCTCTTACACAGACATGATACAATATTCATTGATTTTATTAAACGATCTGATGTCACCCATTAAATCTTCTGACCCTGGTCAAGTATTGTACAGTTCTGTGATTAAGAATTGAATAGTACAATATAAAATACTGATTAGTGACAATACAATTACCATCAAGGACGGTCAATCAATCAATCTGTTATCTCTATACAGCGAATTGAAATAGAGCAAATTGAAGTGAACGTTAGCTTGACGCATTAACGCCAAAATACTGTATTCTATTTATTAATGCTTTAGCAACATATAGACATATACATAGAAACATATAATATATATACACATTATATACAAAACGAATACGAATATGTTTTAATAATACAATTATAAATTAACATTAAATCATTTGATAAGTTTGATTGAAAAAAAAGTCAACAGAAACGAAATCGACACTTCACTGAATGATAAAGGTATTTTCCAAATTCCAAATATCAACAAGATTTCTGGACTTACTTCGAACTCGTCTTTCAATATTTGCATTAGAAATAGGTTGACCTACTTATTGATTGGCTGTTGTCTAGGATGACAAAATGTTATGTATTTATGCGCCAATTTAGTGCCTTAAGATGTTGTTATATTAAATAAATATTTATTTGAGTTGATTTAATTATAAGAAATGACCTGAACATTTTTTCAGTTTATCGATGTATAAACATAAAAAACCTGCGTACACTTGTGTATAAACTGCTACTCGGACTTTGAATACATCGATAAACTGAAAAAAATTCTTAATTAAACTTTGTTATTATTGTTTGGTACGGGTATGTTACTGTTATGCTTCGAACTTTTTAGTCAACCCTGGTATAACTCAGAAATGCAGTCATCATTGATTCACCAATAAGATAGCGGGAAGGCTAAAATGTGTTTTCGAGAATAAGGTCCTGATCCCGGCTGAGGTAATGAATTTTTTCTGTCTGAACGATTAGACAATTGTAATGTCACCCCAAATCACAGACATGGATGTAAAACTCCATTCCATGCAACAAAACAGACGAGTTGATAACTTGTATCAATTGTTTAGTTGAAAGATTAATATTATTAAAGTATTTAAATTCCAAAGTGTTATATATTTAAGTCCATAGTTAGGTTAGGTCTTGGGGTGAGAGCCGGGTCGACTCTCGGAAGCATTGGTACAGACATCAGAAATGTTCTTACCCTGAGAGTTAGGCTTAACCCCAAATTGAATATTTTATGATTTCGAAACCCTCTTTTGGGTTTCTATGTTTTTGAGTCGTCAAGAGAGTGAAGGGCGAGTAAGGCAAGTGTAAAACAAAATACAACTCACAGTCCTTGTCTTTATATACATGTATAGGAGCAGTTTTCTTCTTTTCATATCTGAAATGATTTATTTCAATCCTTACGAGACATTGAGGTATTATAGATCGCAGTCGGGTGGTACTCTGTATTCGGATTGTGTCTACGTTCAATGGACAATTCAGTTTACAGTCAGACAGACGGGCTCCGGTTTACCAACATGTCGGCAAATACTTATTGAGTATTAATTAATAACAATTTATCCACAGTTTTAAACATGAACCTGGACTTGATTTTCGTGTCACGTTCGGCTTAGTCTATGTCTTCTGATCAACATGTAGCTGCATACCACCCATAGCTTATTATCTCAAAACTGCATAACGAGAATGGCCTGCAAACTTTTACTGCTGTCATCTTGATTTTCAAAAAAGTTTCCAAAGTTGGCGTATTTGAACGTAGTACACTATGTTTATGCATGGCATTTTAGAAAATATCCCTTTGCTTCGATTAAACTGATATCGCAGACTAGGTAGTTGTTGGTAGATGACAAGTTAACTGATATCGCAGACTTGGTAGTTGTTGGTAGATGACAAGTTAACTAATATCACTGACTAGGTAGTTGTTGGTATATGACAAGTTAACTGATATCACAGAATATGTAGTTGTTGGTAGATAACAAGTTAACTAATATCACTGACTAGGTAGTTGTTGGTAGATGACAAGTTAACTGATATCACAGACTAGGTAGTTGTTGGTAGGTAACAAGTTAACTAATATCACTGACTAGGTAGTTGTTGGTAGATAACAAGTTAACTGATATCACAGACTAGGTAGTTGTTGGTAGATAACAAGTTAACTATAATCATTGACTATGTAGTTGTTGGTAGATAACAAGTTAACTGATATCACAGACTAGGTAGTTGTTGGTAGATGACAAGTTAACTGATATCACAGACTAGGTAGTTGTTGATATCACAGACTAGGTTGTTGTTGGTAGATAACAAGATAACTGATATCACAGACTAGGTTGTTGTTGGTAGATGACAAGTTTACTGATATCACAGACTAGGTTGTTCTTGGTAGATGACAAGTTTACTGATATCACAGACTAGGTAGTTGTTAGTAAATGACAAGTTAACTAATATCACAGACTAGTTTGTTGTTGGTAGATGACAAGTTAACGTCCACTTCCACTTAACTGATATCACAGACAGGTAGTTGTTGGTAGATGACAAGTTATCTGATATCACAGACTAGGTTGTTGCTGGTATATGACAAGTTAACTATTATCACCGACTAGGTTGTTGTTGGTAGATGACAAGTTAACTATTATCACTGACTATTATCACAGTTGGTAGATGAAAAGTTATCTGATATCACAGACTAGGTAGTTGTTGGTAAATGACAAGTTAACTAATATCACAGACTAGGTAGTTGTTGGTAGATGACAAGTTAACTGATATCACAGACTAGGTAGTTGTTTGTAGATGACAAATTAACTGATATCACAGACTAGGTAGTTGTTTGTAGATGACAAGTTAACTGGTGTCATAGACTAGGTAGTTGTTTGTAGATGACAAGTTAACTGGTGTCATAGACTAGGTAGTTGTTGGTAGATGACAAGTTAACTGATGTCATAGACTAGGTAGTTGTTCACGTCGCTTCTGATTGAAGCTGGTATCGTAAAGTGGTTATTGGTAAATTATAAGTTAACGTTCTCTTCCAACAGAAGTTGGAATCACACCAGGTAGTTTTACTTTTATAACGGTACACTTTACTCTAATACTTAGATAAAATAGGACGGAACAATCAGTGTAATAGCGGCCGATCTTGTCATTTTGGAGAAAGCAGTATGAAATGATGTCACAGCTAGAGCATGAATTTGATTGAATCTAGCGATACGATTTTTTTATGTTCTTACTGACACACAATGTTCCTTTTTCCAATTTACATTCCAGAAGTGAGCATAAAACACGATCATAAAATTTGAAATTAGAAATTTCACGTGTCACACCTAGTTATCAACTACATAATAAATCTTTATAACCTCATCACATTACAGATATTATCGAAATAATTGCTCCGCGATTAAATAGTTCCTATATCATAAAATATAGAAGTAAAGGCCTACTTAATGTTTAGGTTGCCTAAAATGGCATCAAGCTTTTGAAAATAGGGGTGTGTAATGGTTTTTATCATTACTTTGTAGGGTGATTCAAGATAACTCTGGGATTGGGATTTCCATAGCGATTATCTGGTTCTGCTATTTTGATGAATGGTTTACTGAATTCTTAGGCAATGTTTGCATAGTTTCGTATTTTTTGTCACGAGCTTATTATGATATGATTAAATAACTCTCGTCAGGACATCTGGTTTTCAAATAAATTTGTATGTTAGGGTGAATTGGAAAAGGACAGTAAGTAATTTTCTTGTATCCTTTTAGATTATTTAGTCGTTACTAATTTCACATGACTTGTGTTAATACAGCGACGACTAAATCTGAGTTGATCCTGCCCTTACTTCATACAATACTAAAAACCAGGGATTAATAAATCAGTCAATAAGAGAGGAGTAGGGTAGAGTTTATATCCACTAGATCAACACTTTCTCTTCTTATTTATATATTTATTACCCCCTCAACTATCGGGTCACAGGTCATCACCGAGACAAAGGTAAAGGTATGTATCCTTCTAAATATCAGCATTATTATCCATTGTACTAGTGGTTCAACTTCCATAGGGACTGGTTGAACCAAGCCCACGGGCACCCACACCAAAGGGAGGAGTATATGGAAAGCATATGTTAAAAAACGTTTCCCGTAGGAGGGGCCCAACCCATTTAAGTCAACGGGTCCCACTTATATAGTTGATACACAAAATTATTGTGTCCCAAAAATAGAATTTTGAATTCGAAATGGATGGTTTTCCTCGCCTAGAGTGTTTATAATAAACAATACCAGCGGCGAAAGTCCCGAGTTCGGGCTAGTTGTAGGGATGTCGTTCTATATACATCTCTATTAAACAAACTGAAGTCAAAGTTACTTGAAGGTCAAACGAAAGCATTGTGTTCATCTTTCAAACAGAGTATCATACAATAGTATTAAACAACTAAATATTGATCTATCTATTCAACTCAAACTCAAACCGTGATTGCATGTCTCCGTGCGATGATTCCACAAAACTGTATAAGGAAACTGAGTGGTATTGGGTCAGTAACAAAGGAGGAGAGTAAAGTCCTCCACGGTATTAAGGACATAAAAGTAGTCATCCGCAAACGCAAAAAATCACTCACTCCGTTGCGCTAACGGGGGTGTTGAGTTTCATTTTGAAGACACATATAAGCAGACAAATGGATTTGCTAGGATTTCCTCTGTTCTGTTCATTGAGTTTGCGTGCACATGTAGTCGTAGCCTTACGCACCAAAAATTTTGCAGTTTATTATACTATTCTTATACTATGTTCTAGATTCTAATAGTAGAACAGAAACACTTTATATTTCAATTAAGAATTTGACAACGACATCCCTTTAATAATTTAAACACGTGAAATTATTCTGTATTTAACGTGTTATAAATCTGTTTTACACACATTTTCCAGTTTACCAAGTTAATAATCGGATTGTGAAGAAAGTCGAGATTTTATTAGATTTATCAGGAGATTGTTAAGTGGACTTTTTAAGTTCTGTACAGAATTACCAGGGAAATACCAGGTCGACATTGTAATTTGTGATCAAGTGGTTTTAATAAGGATACCTTCGATTGCTTAATAGCAGAACAACGTAGAGATTAATAAAACAATCATTATAGATATATAAATATACTGCAGACATCTGCGGTAGATGATACAATAAAACTCTCGTATTCGAGTTCTACTCCAGAAGTGTATTAAATTTAAAACTATGGATGGAAGATGAACAGGTATTGCAGAACAACGATAATCTTGTGGTAACAGATATTGACGAACAACGATAATCCTGTAGTAACAGATATTGACGAACAACGATAATCTTATGGTAACAGATATAGAAGAACAACGATAATCTTGTGGTAACAGATATAGACGAACAACGATAATCTTGAGGTAACAGATATTGACGAACAACGATAATCGTGTGGTAACAGATATTGACGAACAGCGATAATCTTGTGGTAACAGATATTGACGAACAGCGATAATCTTGTGGTAACAGATATAGAAGAACAACGATAATCTTGTGGTAACAGATATAGAAGAACAACGATAATCTTGTGGTAACAGATATAGACGAACAACTATAATCTTGTGGTTACAGATATTGACGAACAACGATAATCTTGTGGTAACAGATATAGACGAACAACGATAATCTTGTGGTTACAGATATTGACGAACAAAGATAATCTTGTGGTTACATATATTGACGAACAACGATAATCTTGTGGTTACAGATATTGACGAACAACGATAATCTTGTGGTTACAGATATTGACGAACAACGATAATCTTGTGGTTACAGATATTGACAAACAACGATAATCTTGTGGTTACATATATTGACGAACAACGATAATCTTGTGGTTACAGATATTGACGAACAACGATAATCTTGTGGATCTTACAGATAGCAGATAATTCAAACCAATATGGCAGTGTAACTGTAAGGCCTACAGGATAACTTTAACACTGCATTACGAATACTTACATTAATACATGTACATTAAAACGACTGGCAGAAAGATGCCGGTTAACTCACGGAGTAAGAGAATCAGTGTTTCTTCTTGTCCCGGAAGTGATGCTACAATATACCATGATGCCAACCGCCGCACTAGTATCTCACAACGTGTATCATTTGACGAGCGATATTTAGACGATATTTTAACTCTAAGAAAATCATATAACACGAATAACATAACTAGAAGACCGAATCGTATCAGCTTAAAATCCATTCCAACGTCGTATTTTGCCACGGGAAAAGTTGCTGCTAAGAGTTCGTTTGGAAATAACACCAAACGAAGTGAAGGCGATAGTTTCGAGTCTAATTTGTCAGACAAGAAGACGTCTTCTGCTTCCAGAGCTTCCACCGCTGATCGAGACGTTTTATCAAGATTATCTTTATATGATCCAGATAATACTGGTGAATATTGGATACGAAAGAAGAAATTACGTCTACCACCAGTCCTACTCCCGCCAATTTACACAATTCGACCGAAAACTCCTGAATGTTTAGAAGAAGTTTTAGATAAACCATTGCGGTTTCCGAAGCCTATAACGGATCGGGATTGGAGTGAACTACAGGAATGTCGGTACCTCAGACCAGGGTTAAGAAAATATAGACTCGACATTAGACCCAGGCTTAAATTAACATAATATTTATAACCTTACCCAACCCAGTTCATGTTCATATATATATATATATCTTATCATGTCATCTGCTCAAACTAATGTATATTATAATTTGGACTTAATTGATACATCTCTTAAATAGCTTTTAAATATCATTAAATATCATAAAATATCCAAACCTGTTTATATATCATTATTATATCAGACTTTATTCTCAGTTAATACTCTTCTAAAATGTGTTGAGATTTATCATTTTTATCAAATGTCTATTTTGCTGTCGGGTGTTTTGGTGGTCATTATTAGGAAAATGTATTGTGTGTACCATGCGTTCGAACTAGGTAAATAAACTATCAACAAGAATCACTATGATCACAATTAGTTTGGAATAATGACCAAGTTTCACCGCCATGTCATTCGACACGACCAGATCTTACGAATTATCAACAACCAAATCAAAAGTACAGAATCAACCAGTTTGAACCAATCCAAATACCAACTACTATGACTACCAACAACTTACCTTGTTTGCGATAGCAGCATCCACTGGAAACGAGCGTTAACGTGTCGATCTACAACTAAAATATATCTCAAACTAGGTAGTTGTTGGTAGTTGACTTGTTACCGTCCGCTTCTAGCTAACTGATATCACAGACTAGGTAGTTGTTGGTAGATGACAAGTTTTTCGGTTAATACCTTGATCAAAAGAATGGACTGATTTATGCAAGCTCACAAGTTTAACTAAATACAAGAACAAATTTTTAAATAAATGAACTTTGTTTTATTCATGCTTATGTGACATTTTTCAAACAAATGAAAATAAGCTGTTTTACTTTAACAAAAATCCTCTTCCAAAGAAAAAAATAAAAAGGTGTATTATATTTTATCAATAAGGGCTGTAACTCAAACAATGTTCATTGAAAAATCCCAAATATTGATCTCATTAAAGACCTTGGATATTGTCTTTTAAAGCACAATTTGTAGCTAAACGTTTAAGTTTTATACTCTTCAGTTTAGGTTTCCAGGTCATTAATATTCTCTCATATAGATATACCCACGGATTCATAATCTACGTGGGAAATATGTTAAGGACGGTTTGGATATCTCTATTCATATATTTGGGAGTTGAAAATATTTTCTTCAGGGTCCCAAATGCATCTATCTGCATAGCTTTTCAATATGAATTTAGAAACACAAGAATTTAATAATCGCTTTACCTTTAGCCCCACAACACAGCCTTACCAAGTTCCACAGATCAACTGCTAATTTTCATGGAACTTCAATCTGGACTAATTTTTGGTTGGCTAGGTTTTGAGAATTTACATCATAACAAAAGCCAAACCATTAATGAGCCCATAGAGAAAATATGAATTCTACCATGTTTCTATGTACAACATAGTATCAAAATATAGTCTAAGGGTATGTTTTTTTGCTTCCTTTGCAATATTTTCAGAATATGTGAAATCTATGTACGAATGTGATCGGTTTTCCTCAAATATCTGCCATCAAAAATGTGGCGATGTATGTACTTTGACCTCAATAACGTGATTCACTTTCTTACATAAATTAGTGTAAAGGAATATCCCTTTACTGAATTGTGGTGCTGTATGGGGCACAGGTGATCATAGAACATCTGGCAATAACTTTAAAGACTATATCAATGGTTCAGCTTTTCAACTTTTGACACATTTGACTTTTGTGATGGTGAAAATTCTCAAATATCAGAGACCCATATTTCGAGATGAACTGTCATGAAAAAATCATTTTGTCAGTTGCTAGGTTAATATTTAGATTACCATATCCCTTAAAAGTTCTTAAGATAACTGCAATTCAGCTCCATAAGCTGTTAAGCAATATTGTTATATTCCAATTAATATCTTGTAAAAGAAAAAAATATCTTACCATAGCATACTTTGCCCGAGCAAGTTGAAGGAAAATTAAATCTACTAAAATTCCAGATCTTAAATTCCATTACATACATGCATTCGGAATCTGACCTTAATCTTAATCTATATGTATTTATATATTTGTATTTATACAAACAAGGTAATAACATGATATATTCACTTTATAAAAACATGCATGTACTTAAGATAAAAAATTTTAAAGGATACTACCTCTTAGAATGAAAATAAAATTTGAATTCTCAAACTTAGCCAATAAGAGTATAGAATAGATATATCAGTGGATTTACCAGGTGTCAAAACTATAAAACAGAATCCACTAATAAATCCACAAATTAATAATGCACACTTATTGGCCAAGTTTAAGAATTATAATTATTACTAAACTAAACCAAATGCACATGACCGCTGTTATCCTGTTACATTAACTGTAAGTTTTGATTAAAATATCTTGCCGTTAATTTGTGAATGCCAATTTAAATCATTTAAAACGTTTAGGCTACGTAATCGTTTTAAAATTTTCTTAGGTTCTGGTTGGCGTTGGAAAAGTTTTGTACGAAATAGACTCAGAAATTGTGTCGCCTACTTATTCTGAAAGTTTCAACTAAAAATATCCAAATTGTAAAGCCCAAAATCAAATTCCACAACTTTGAACTTGGAACACCTTATTTATCAATAGCACATGCACTCCGTTTTAACCAAGACATTAGAAAAGACATGTATAGACGTATTATGTAGAAAAAGAAATTTAAGTTTCTAGTTTGAGGTATATTTGTATAGGATATGACCGAGGAGTTTTTACAGAGTTTAGAAAACCCGAGAAAGAGAAAGGCGGGCCGTAGAATACCCGAAGGCTTCCTTTCTCTTGGAGCTGAATTGCAGTTATCTTAAGAACTTTTAAGGGATATGGTAATCTAAATATTAGCCTTCGAGGTCATTATCCGACTTATACCGTTTAAAAATGTAAAAAAATTAGCAAATTTGTTAGCAGTTCGATCGATATTATCAACGGGTCGAATATAGATCATGTTGAGAAGCCGTGTTGCACGTGCATTGTCTAGTATATTCATCATTCATTGAGTTGGTGAAAGTCGCCATTATTGATAAAACAACAAATTTAGTATGGATAACAACGAATATGGAATACAACAAGATATATTTCTGACCTAGAACACGTTTAAAGGTACAGCTTCTGAACAAAAAGAGACGAAGTAGGCCTTGTCCAAATCGACAATTTCTTTACATGTTTTAGTCAGGAATAATTCCGAACAGATTACCTGAGTACTTCCTCTAAAGGTGTAAGATTAAGAATACACCATTAATAGTGTAAACTTTACACCGATTTGGGTGCATAATTACCCCTAGTTTTTACAGTGTAGATGACAAGTTAACGTTTGCTTTCAGTTAACTGATATCAAAGACTAGGCAGTTATTGGTAGATGACAAGTTAACGTTTGTTTCTAGATAACTGATATCACAGAAAATGTAGTTGTTGGTAGATAACAAGTTACCGCTTGCTTCCAGTGGATGCTGACGTCGCAAACCAGGTAGTTGTAGGCCGATGACAAGTTAACGCCCGTTTCCAGCGAATGCTGATACCGCAAACCAGGTAGTTGTAGGTAGATGACAAGTTAACGCCCGTTTCCAGCGGATGCTGATATCGTAAACTAGGTAAGTGGTTGGTTGTATCACAGTCTTCCGAATGCAACAAGATTACCATATGAGGCTCCCTTAACGCTGTCGTGAAGATGTAGAACAACTGGCTCATGTTAAACGGTTCAATTGCTTTTGATTTGATATCGATACATCTTTTTGCAGTTCAAGGGAGCTAGCCACTTTCTGCAGATATCGAGTTTTAAAAGAAGATCAATAAACTTAACAGAATGATACATTTTCTGTGGTTAAACTTTAATATGGCAAAATAACTAAGTAACTCAAAAATCATATTTAATTTCGGAAATTTTGACATTTCAAGTCGAGGACGTAATTCAAAATGAATAGGAACTCGTGTTATTTACATGTAAGAACTATATGTTGTTTCGTATGACTTCTCATTTTCGCAATACTTAGTCTGGAGGATTAAAATAAATTTGAAATTAATTTTAGTGATTGACCAATCAGATGACTGGAACACTAAAATCATCGTAAGTTAAGTTTTTAAGAATAAGGTCCCAGGAACAGAAGACCCTCCCCTCCCCTCCCTCCTTTTTTTATTTACTTTACTGAATCTCAGTTCTTTTCTATGGCGATGTTCATATACCTTGTGGATATGATCAAATATGTTGATCGTCATGTCACTTATATCTGCTGCTACATTTTAGACGACTACACCATAGTTATTGGTAAGCAAACAGACTGAACTCCCGAAAACTCATATTCTGAGTTGAATCGTTATTCGCCATTAATTAATTTCAATTAATTTGTCTTTATGCCGATACAGTAACTCTCCCCTGTGGTAATTTAGTTAATATCTGACAAATATAACCATACAACATACTACAACCTTTATCGTTAAAGGGTCCAGTAGACTGAACTTCTACACAGTTTTCTTTCCCTCTATGATTGTTTGGTTCACCAGATTTCCAGAACGACTCCTCAACAGTTCCACCATGTATCCAATCTAAACGAGAATCATCCAGTGTTCTGTGTGCCCCAACATAGACAGACTGGTTATCTATAACAAATTCATACAGTAAAAGTTAAATACATAACTTATCACCAAATGATATGTCGAGTTAACATACCCTGCCCCCTCCAGGGACACCCTTAACAATATTAACTACCTCCTCTAGGGACACCCTTAACAATACTAACTACCTCCTCCAGGGACACCCTTAAAAATACTAACTACCCCCTCCAGGGACACCCTTAACAATACTAACTACCCTCTCCAGTAACACCCTTAACAATACTAACTACCTCCTTCAGTAACACCATTAACAATACTAATTATCTCCTCCAGTAACAACCTTAACAATACTAACTATCTCCTCCAGTAACACCATTAACAATACTAACTACCCCCTCCAGTTACACCATTAACAATACTAACTACCTCCTCCAGTAACACCCTTAATAATACTAACTACCTCCTCCAATAACACCCTTAACAATACTAACTACCTCCTCCAATAACACCCTTAACAATACTGGCTATCTCCTCTAGTAACACCCTTAATATTACTAACTACCTCCACTAACACCCTAAACAATACTAACTATCTCCTCCAGGAACACCCTTAACAATACTAACTACCTCCTCCATTAACACTATTAACAATACTAACTACCTCCTCCAGTAACACCCTTAACACTACTATCTACCTCCTCCAGTAACACCCCTAACAATACTAACTACCTCCTCCAGTAACACCCTTAACACTACTAACCATCTCCTCCAGTAACACCCTTAACAATACTGGCTATCTCCTCTAGTAACACCCTTAATATTACTAACTACCTCCACTAACACCCTAAACAATACTAACTATCTCCTCCAGGAACACCCTTAACAATACTAACTACCTTCTCCATTAACACTATTAACAATACTAACTACCTCCTCCAGTAACACCCTTAACACTACTAACTACCTCCTCCAGTAACACCCCTAACAATACTAACTACCTCCTCCAGTAACACCCTTAACACTACTAACCATCTCCTCCAGTAACACCCTTAACAATACTGGCTACCTCCTCCAGTAACACCCTTAACAATACTGGCTATCTCCTCTAGTAACACCATTAACAATACTAACAATCTCCTCCAGTAACACCCTTAACAATACTGGCTACCTCCTCCAGTAACACCCCTAACAATACTAACTACCTCCTCCAGTAACACCCTTAACAATACTGGCTATCTCCTCTAGAAGTAACACACTAACAATACTGGCTACCTCCTCCAGTAACACCCCTAACAATACTAACTACCTCCTCCAGTAACACCCTTAACACTACTAACCATCTCCTCCAGTAACACCCTAACAATACTAACTACCTCCCCCAGTAACACCCTTAACAATACTGGCTACCTCCTCCAGTAACACCCTTAACAATACTGGCTATCTCCTCCAGTAGCACCCTAACAATACTAACTACCTCCTCCAGTAACACCCTTAACAATACTAACTACCTCCTCCAGTAACACCCTAAACAATACTAACTACCTCCTCCAGTAACACCATTAACAATACTAACTATCTCCCCCAGTAACACCCTTAACAATACTAATTAGAGGAGAGGGCAACAAACACAAAATTTACTTACGTGAATATAAAGATCTTAAATTGTCATAATCCTTTTGTGTATAAACCGACATCAAATGACCGCCATCATATCGACATTGTGATTCGGCATTTTCAAAAGTGACCAGAGTAGAGTGGTACTTTAAACAATACCCTTGGCCTGAAAATACTGTATATCCCTTGACGAAACAACTAAAGAAATCTGAAATAATAATGAATATGTGATGTTTATATGGGCGTTAGTTATTAATGATGAATTCAATGAAAGATCAAGATCAGAATATAGTTTTTGATCCCACAAACTCTTCTGGATATAGCAGTTTATAATGATAAAATCAAGGTGTGTCGATTTGATGAAAATAATTATCAAATATTCTTTAGTAGATAAGTGGAACATAGTTGACATTCAAATACAAATAACAATGAAATACAAATATTAGCCTTGTTGACTATAAGTAAGATATGCCTGGTTGACAAACCAAAGAGATTATTATAATATTTAAAACCTACCTTGATAAAGCACCATAGATTCTGAATTGGTTTTCACCCATCCAGAAACTCTACTAGCTTCCACATAACTTGGTGCTAAACAATAACAATCTTCTTCTTGATAATAAATCTGATCCCAGTTGTAGAGAGATGAACAAGTTGCTATACAGCGGATTAAACTAAAATTTGATATCAAACTATAATAATTTAATATGACAGGTCCAGAGTAGGTTAATTTTCTCCAGTTGTTGATCTTAGTCATTCTCGGTGGTTGTGCTAATCTTAAACTCGATCCAATGGATAGTAAAAAAGTCAAAATGAAGAACAATACATACATTTTTGATAAAAGTACTCAGCAATATATATTACGTAAAACATTTACCAAAACATACACTAACAGGACAATCAGAATCCGTTTTAAAACTGTTTACCACAATATTAAGAAATGAAATTTTACTGGAGAAGATTTGTATTGGTCAATACCAGAGATCCACAAAGTATGATACAATAAATAACCGTTTATTGATATATCAATACAAACTTACACAAGCGTTAAAAAAATAGATTGACCAAATTACGTCTTTAAAGATGGGTTTTTCTATTATTTTCTACAAGTCAAATCTAGCAAACTATTTGATTACTTCAGGTTCTAATAAATCATCCATGTATTCTATATCTAAAATCCCCAGTAGACATAAAGACTGGAGAAATACGATACACTCAGCTCTGTTTGGAAAAGGTGAATATATGCTCTATGAATACCCTTTCAGGAATACCAAAATATCCAATCATAAATGACCCAGTATGTTCAAGCTGGATAATAAAAAAATACTTTTTGACCTTTCTTGATCGGTCACTCCTTGGATACCTTCTTCTTAATCAATATTGGATTAGTGAGACAAACTGATATTTTTCTAATTCTACTTTTCATTCATAAAAAATATTAACCTTCTAATAATAAAATATACATAGGAATTAATGAAACATAAAGAGACCCATCTTTAAGATGGTTATGGTTATGGCTATTTTGCCTGAACAACTAATTTTCAAAATATCTTGAGAAAGGATACTTCGATCCGCTCAATAAATTTTATAGATAATATATCAATAGGTAAACTAATAAGACATCTTTATTTTTTAGTTGTGTTTCAAATCGTTAGCAAATCGTTAAACAATTGTGCGTCTAGAATTGATACCACAACAACATAATAACTCCATCAATAAAGAATTGATAAAAAAAACACTTACTAGACTATTTATCTTATAAGACAAGTTATCGCTCTTAACATGTTCAACTTAGAAGATGGCCTTCTGCTACCTTGATTTGTGGAGAATTTAAAAGAATTCACCTCACTTGAAAGCTGAAAGAGAATAATACAAGTGACAGTATATATCTCATGTATACCTTCTTTTGTTGGCTTGTTACCTATGACAATTGCAATTTGCATACACTTATTATGTAAATTACCAGTCTAAAATCTTGACTTAGATTGTGCCCATACATGACAAATGCAGTGTATGTGAATTACCAGTCTAAAATCTCGACCTAGATTGTGCCCATACATCACAAATGCAGTGTATGTGAATTACATGTACCAGTCTAAAATCTTGACTTACCTTGTACTAACTTAAACACAAAATCGGTGTATGCGAATAAGGGTTAAGGTTGATAATAACGATTCCCTTTAATAACTAGATAGTGTCAAGTGCAAGGGATATATAAAGCTTACAGTGTTGGTAACAGAAAATAACAAATGAGTTAAACATTACACCTTTAATCAATTTGAAACTATTAAGTAATTTTTTAAGTTCTTTTCAGTAACTAAACAGTTCTAATCAAATTCATCACTCACATCCACAACACATATTTTACAAAGCCAATTTGGCTGGATTTGTTGTACATACAAAATCTACCATTCTTATATGGCAAATCCTACAGAATTGTCTCTTCCTTAAAAACTATTTAGATTAAATCAATACATCTTTATCAGTGAACTGCAAAACTTCAACAAAAGCCTGCTCCAGCCATGAAATTAAATTTTGTAACTGAGTTTTGTTCACAACGTTGACCAATTGTTTTTGAATAAAACTTATTAAACCTGCTACCTCTTGTTGTAGTTAAGTATCATTAATGAAATTTTTATTATTTAGTTTGAAGAATCTTTTCACATTATTTATTTTATCTTCTAAATGGTTTTTATTTACTTCAATTGGATTTATTTGTTCCCGTAAATATTTCTTGTGAACAGCGCCATTATCATTTTCAGTAGACTTTAAATTAGTTACTTTGAAATTGTTCATATCTAAATCACCTTGAAGAGTGTCTCCGATTTGATCCACAAAGTAAGGTTTCGCTTTATTTATCCACGCTGTAGTGTTAGGTTTTTTAGTTTCTAAAGATAAAAAACCTAAACCAAACTTGTTCGCTATTTTTATTAAGTTAAATTCATTATAATTTCTTCAAACTGGTTTCCTAAACTCAACTGATATAAAACCCAAAGTGAAAGCTGTCCACAAAACTTTTGTCATGGTAATCGAATTTGAAATGTTGAACATTTGATTGGTTTATTAGTCAATTGCATTATCTCTTCAGTGGGTTCTAATCCAAAAGAATAAAAAAATATAAGTTATTTGAAGAGTCTTTGTACAAAGCAGAATGATGAACTCCTTTTTGATCGGAAGTATGTATATTTGTTATAGCATGAAATTTACCTTTCTTATATTTGAGATCATTTATTTCATCTCTCATACAATAATAAAACGGTGATATATTTAACTCATTCGCCCATCTCATAAGTTGAAAGTTTGTGGTTGTATCAGTTCCATATTTATCGAGAAAGATATTCATTTTTAAAAGTCGGTTTTTTGAAGTTCGTTTTGATAAAACCTACCTATGATTTGTTCTTTGTCTTGATCGATTAATTCATATGTCGGAGGTGATGTGGTGTTTACTTTATCAACGATGAATATTTCGTTTGTCCAGTATCCAACGTATCCTTTTTCGAATTTACTTTTATATTTGAAAATACGAACGTGATCTCCAACTTTAAATTTGGGTTTGATATTTAAATTACTTATTTCATTTTCAAAATTATTAAGGGTAGAAGAAAACTTTATAATATCTGGGTTTTGACTAGCCTCCATTGGAGAAACGCCCATGGAAGAATGAATTTTATTATTATATTCCGATACAACAGTGGGTAAAATCTTTAACCATTTTTTAGACTTTAGTTCTGTGAATTTTTTCAAAAGTTTTGATTTAAGGGTTCTTTTAAATCTTTCTACTACTACAGCTTTTCCCTCGTTATGAGTACTGTAAATTAATAGTTAAAGATGTTGGACAGAGGATGTGTCTTTTTAAATTGTTTTTTTTTTTTTGCGATGATTTACGAGTGTTTTGTGTTATGACCTATATAGTCAACAATAGCGTATATACTTCCTTGTGTGATTGATTGATTCATATACTACCACTATAGATTCCTTTATCATAATATGAAATTTCAATGTATAATCTCATCATATAATCTCATCATATAATCTCATCTATTTTTATGTCAGAACTATATTACATGTGTGTTTGATGATATTAAATTAAGTTAATTCCCATTATTACAATTTAAACTGTAATTGATATATAAAATTGAGTTATCTCCCATTATTACAATATAAACTGTAATTGATATATTAAATTGAGTTATCTACCTTTATTACAATATAAACTGTAATTGATATATTAAAGTGAGTTATCTCCCATTATTACACTATAATCTATAATTGATATACAGAATTTAATTACCTCCCTTTATTACAACATAAACTGTAAATGATATGTAAAATTGAGTTGTCTCTCATTATTACAATATAAACTTTAATTGATTTATAAAATTAAGTTATCTCCCTTTATTACAATATAAACTGTAATTGATATATAAAATTGAGTTATCTCCCTTATTACACTATCTATAATCTATAATTGATATCAAGAATTGAGTTATCTCCCATTATTTTAATATAAGTTGTAATTGATATAAAAAAAATTAAGTTATCTCCCTTTATTACAATATAAACTGTAATTGATATATAAGATTGAGTTATCTCCCTTTATTACAATATAAACTGTAATTAATATATAAAATTAAATTATCTACCTTTTTTACAATGTAAACAGTAATTGATATATAAAATTGAATTATCTCCCATTATTACACTATAATCTATCATTTATATCAAAAATTGAGTTATTTCCCTTTATTACAATTTAAACTGTAATTGAATTACATAATAGAATTACTTCCCTTTATTACAACATAAACAGTAATTGAAATATAAAATTAAGTTATCTCCCATTATTAAAATATAAACTGTAATTGATATATAAAATTAAGTTATCTCCCATTATTACACTCTAATCTATAACTGATAGTGAATTAAGTTATCTCCCATTATTACAATATAAACTGTAATTGTTACATAAAATTGAGTTATCTAACTTTATTACAATATAAACTGTACTTGATATATAAAATTAAGTTATCTACCTTTATTACAATATAAACTGTAATTGATATAAAAAATTGAGTAATTTCCATTTATTACAATTCAAACTGTAATTGATATATAATATTGAGTTATCTCCCATCATTACAATATAATCTGTAATTGATATAAAAAATTGAGTTATCTCCCATCATTACAATATAAACTGTAATTGTTACATAAAATTAAGTAATCTACCTTTATTACATTATAAATTGTAATTGATATTAGATTAAGTTATCTCCCTTTATTACAATATAAATATGTAAAAAATTTATTACATAAATATAATGTAACGCACCAGTAAAGGGATAGGAAGAGAAATGTTCTACTTCTCTAAAACTGTGGGCGTCAAAGAGTAGTACTTCTTGCCAAAACCCAATTCTTTGGAACACTAGTCCAATTTGAATTGGCACCGCAATATGAGTTAAAGTGAGCACGTTACCAGCTTAAAAGTGGTATATTCGTGACAATCCTCCAATACAGCAACACCGGAACAGGAACCCCAAGATGCGATGTAAAAACACACTAATTCAACAAAATCAGGTTTATTTACATCATTAAAACATCTAACTATATATTATGCATAAAAGAAATACAACATTGACGTACAATATTGTGCCGAAATAAGTCGGTCTTGGTATATAGAGATCAACCAAGTTGCCTTGATGCTCTCTACTCAGCCTTAGTGTGAAGACAATTTTCATGTGCCACGACTGAGAGGGGTAATCGTTATGTTACCGTGAGTGCTGCCGTCATGAGAGTCAAGTCTATTGTTGCGTTCTAGATGTCGTAGACAGA